ATTATATTTTGGGATAGACTCCAACATGCTATGTGTTTTTGGTAACTTAGAATCCCTCTACAATTCCACTATGCCCAAAGGCGCCTGAATCTGCTCAAACTGAGGGGCTATGCACGCGCTTTTGTCTTGCAGTCTTGCCACTCAAATTTATTCCCAAGTAAATGTGATGCATGTACAAGTAATTAGATCTCGTGCCAGCAACATCCACAAGAAGTTATTGCAGTGAATTTTGAGTAAATTGTGTATTGTTATTTGTTTTGTGTTATTATTGTTGACCAACAAACATAGACATTGTATAAGAAATATCAAAAGATGCATTTATACATGATATACTTAAGCAAGAGGGAAAAAATTATAATGAAACTACTATCTAAAACTTTGGTCCTCAACTCCATCAGTGATGAGCAAATAACACAGAGGGACGTCGTGGCCATCAGGAGCCATGGCAATACCACCCACCTGTCCCTCAGCTCCATCAGTGATGAGCAAATAACACAGAGGGACGTCGTGGCCATCAGGAGCCATGGCNCACAAGGATCGAAGTTTTATAGTACAGGGTCTGTCTCTTATACACATCTAGATGTGTATAAGAGACAGAGCTACTACAGTTACCCTATACAATACCCGTGAATCACGCTACAGTTACCCTATACATTACCCTTGAAGCACGCTACAGTTACCCTATACATTACCCGTGAAGCACGCTTCAGTTACCCTATACAATACCCGTGAATCACGCTACAGTTACCCTATACATTACCCTTGACGCACGCTACAGATACCCTATACATTACCCTTGACGACGCTACAGTTACCCTACATAGCTGACAGTACATAGGGTAACAAAACTTGCAGGCTTATGTTTATGATACATAAGGGGAGCTTACATACCCTAGGAGCCCAGAAGAGGGGAGCTTACTTTGCGAGCTTTATGATAAAATATGAAACTTTCCGTTGCATTTTCAAAAGACATTAACATAATATCATCGCATATCATTATATCATAATATCATTAACATTATATCATTCTATTCTATAAAATATTAAACTTTCTGTTGCGTTTTCAAAAGACATTAACATAATATCTTGAATATCATTATATCATAATATCATTAACATAATATCATTCTATTCTATAATATCATTGCAATATATCTTGGTTGAATATATCACAATTACGTTGAAGCCTCATAGGGAGCTGCTCAGGGCTGGATGACTCGCAGACGTCGCCGCTGCCCGCAGAGGCTGTAGTCGTGGACGACTCTCCGCTGCAGTGCTGAGGAATCTAAGACAAATGTTATGAAGATTATTGAATTATTAAATTGTAATAATTAGTTAATTATTTTATTATTCAAATCATTAATAAATTGATTTATTTTATTTAATTAATTTAATAAATGTTGGAAACGCCTCAAAATTGACATGAAAAGTTATCATTTTTTAATGTGCGCACTCACGCCAAGCAGTGTGATGTCCTTGTTTCTGACAGTGACTTCAGGGTGTTAGCTTCCACCTCCGGCACTTCTGATTTGCGTATTTTAGAATCATTGTACATTTTTAAACTTAGGCACTGTTTAAATTCAGCTGTTAGCTCCTATCCCCTTGAAATTGTGAATAGATAGGTTTTTTGTGCCCTATTACTTGCAAATTTAGGTTTTCAATTGTGTTCTGTGCTTTCTCAATTGTACTAATATGTGACTTTCTATGTAAATTCTAGATTCTACAAACTAACGATGGAGCTGGACTCCGAAACATTTTCTATAAAGATATGAATTTTTGTGGACTATTCTTTGCTTTTAAATTTTTATGTTTTTAGGTAAGTACTCTTTTGAAATTAAAAAAATATGTGCAAAGATATCACAATAATTCCATTTCTACATGAAAGCCTGTGCCTTAATCTTCTTTTCTACATAATTTCCGTTGAAGAGGAGCATATTGCTCCTCTTGCTTAATCTTAGATTATTAGGTTCTTGCTTTTCATTCCTGGCACTTTGGTGTATTGCTTACTTTAGGTTATGCATCCTAATATGGTTTGCTCTTTCCATTTAATTTAGGGCTTTTGTGACTGTTATTATTAATGAACGTTTCCTTCCCTTGTATTTGTTTCAGGTGTTGTTCTCCATCAATAATTCACTAGTTAAAGCATGCAACTTTATGCAGTGTCTGAAAAGTTCAATTGCTTCTGCCTTGTCCTCATGTTTGAAGTGTAGCATGCACTATTAAAAGTCTTGGTTAAGTTTAGTAAGCACACCACTTATCACACTTAGTGATCCTTGTCTGCACCTAATTGCTTGCCTCACCTGCACCCATTGCCTGAAGATCATTTAACCCTGGAAGTCATTGTCAACCCATTCCTGCTTGCTGAGCAACGTAGCTGCTCCCTAAGGGTGAGTTGCTAAGACTTGCTCAACTCAAGAATAATAATATACTTTTCCTTTTCAAGCTCATGCACTTAATTTACTGCAATAAATCTTGCTTATTACTTTGTTATCTGTTTAATGTCACCTTGTTCCTGTTTTGAACTGCTTTAGTCACTTACCTGATTGCTTTTACGTTGAATTTGAATCATTACAACTATTAGATCTCATATCAAGTGTTTGCATTGCCATACTGTGCTTGCTTTTCTTGTCTTGCCATGTTGCTTGGACATTTGTTCTGTGTTCTTGCTGATTTATGCATTATTGCTTGTTTAAATCCTAACCAAAATACTCCTGATTTGAGGTACCCATCACCGCTAACTGCCCTTAGAGACCATAAACTCTAGTCCCGTTATTTTGTTAACTTGATAGGAGCAGTCGGTGTGGGACCCAGCTGGCATGCTGTTGAGGAGACCTGGAGCCCAGACTTGCCCAGTCCTGACCTTCCTGTCCTGAGTCTTCTCATCTTCCAAACTGCAGCTCCTTGAAGATCACCTTGCCAAAGCTCATTGTTTAAATGTCAACCTAGGCACTGTTATCATTACTTAACTGAGCTAGCTGCATATTAGTCCTGTTCATGAGCAAGTCTTCAGATATTTCATTTGGATACACTTGTTTTAAACTCCTATTTCCAAGTCACTACGAATACCTGCCGGATGTTAACTCTTTTAAGCACAATGGGGCTTAGACTTTCAGACCACCAGTGATTTAGTTGAACAGTTGTGTGACCAACAAGTGATGTGACTGTAGGGATTTAATTATTACTCTTCAGCCACTTTATACATGCGCTTCTGATGGTTGGTCAGGCCCGCCTTACTTCGGCAGACCTTCCCACATCCCTCATACCCAGTCTTTCCTTCTTATAGTATTCCTGTCCAGTCTTGCCACATTCACATTCCAAGCATACTCATGCCCTTTCTGACATTTTCACTCATACAAATCTTCCATGCGTTCCTTCACCAAGCTCTTCCATCCCTCCCTATCTCTGCTCAGCCGCTCAACATCAGTCCAATACACTCCCGCTTCTTTCAACATCCGCTTCCAATAAAAGACAGTCTTCCTCTTACGCCCTTTCATCTTCCCGAAACCTTCCAACCTCTCGTACCATCCTAGCACCATCGCTTTCGTCAGCTTGACATTGCCCATTCTAATAACATGTCCCACATGCTCCAAAACACGCTTCTCAATTTTTCATCTCACACTCTTTACAACCAAACACTTCCTAACATCCCACGTGTTCACCCCTCTAGCTTGCATTTGCCTCAGAGGCTGGCCATTTCGATCTCTCCATACATATCTATAACACTTATCCATCCACTTTTGCAACCGATTCATATCCTTTACATACCACACTCTTGCCTGACAATCATACAACAGACTACTCTCCACACATGCCTCCACCACCCTCGCCTGACACTTCTTAAGACATTCTTGACCCTTTCAGCCACCCTTTCGCTCTCCACCACTAATTTCCAGCTCTATTGATCCTGTTACTCACATCCACTTCCGAACTCACCCAGATCACAAGTACTCTAATTACACCCCCTCTTCCATCCCAAACTCCAGCACCTCCTCTTTCTCCTTGTTTTTTTTTTTTATTCTTCCCACTGATTCATCACTTCTTTCACTGCTCTCACACCGTTATCAATCTCACTATTCACATCCACAATCGTTGTATCATACGCAAGCAGAGCCAAGGACACTTTCACTCCGCACACTCACTACTATCCCTCTCCCATGCACTATCACCAGCAAACGAACCCCCTGGCACCCATCTCCACATCACCCCAACCTCTTCACCTCCACTCCTACTTGCCACCTTCACTTGCCTCATTCCCGCCTAATGGTACACAGTAAACAAGTTGGGTGATGTGGAGCACCCCTCTCGCAGGCACCCAGCTTTCACTCACTCCTTCCCTCTCACCTTGTAAACAGTCGACTCATGCAAATCCATAATCGTATCCAAGCATTTCCCTTTCATTCCATACGTCTCAAGCAACCTCCACAAACCCGGTTTATTCACTCTCAGATACGCTTTTTTCAAATCCAGCAGTCTCGCAGTCGCAACAGGCCACTCCTCTTCGTTCATACCCTCATTCCCATTCAGTTCCATTCTTCTCTTCAAATCGATCACATCCTCTTGCATACGAACCATCATTTGCACACATCCGCTGTCGATCTTCCCTTTCAAAACCCTGCCTGTTCCTCATCCAATAACCCCAAATACTCAGCCCACCACGCCACTCTCTTCGCTATCACCCTCGCAAGTAACCTGCTCCCCATACTCAACAAACATACCGCCCTATAGTTATTGCAGTCATTCCTATTGTCCTTCTTGTATAATGGAATCATAATGCCTACTTTCAAAGATTCATCCCATGCATCCGCTCTCTTCACAAACATTTCTCTCACCAACTCAATCACTCTGTCTCTCACAACTTCATCCGCCCACTTAATATATCCAAGCCTCACTCCATTTTCCACAGCAAACACTCGTACATGTCTCCCACTCTGCCTGTTGCACACGCTTCCTCACATTCCCTAATCTTATTCTGCTACCACTCTTCAAGGGTGGGTTGAGGTTCAAGCCGCCTCAACCGTCTTTGCAAAGCTCTCCTCGCCTGCTTCACCTCCACTCTCGCTCCAGCCACCTCTCTCTCCATCAATCTGCCATCTCTTCTTGGCCTCAGCCTTCTCCTGTTACCCACCAGTTGCACCTTTTCATTTTTCAAACGCACCACCGCACTCACTCTCTCATTCAACTCATTTAGCTCATCTTCATAACCAATTGTCCAGGGATTTTGAACCCCCTTCTCACATACTTCACATACTTCCTTCGCCGCCTCAGTCATCACCTCCGCAAGCACCTTCCATTTATTACCTTCATCTATTCTCTCATTTGCCTCAGTCATCCTTTCATTTGTTTCCACTTTGTCTTCTTCCCTCTTCTCCCGTTCTTTGAACATCTCCCACTTTATTCTTGGCACTCTCTTTGTATTCCCTCCTGGCACTCTCCATCTTCTCCCCTTCACTCTCACAGTCATAACTACTGGCTTGTGGTCCGACCACTCATATTCCCCATCCGTCTTCGTCTTTTTTACCATCCACCTCCTATCAATCTTCTGCATTACAAAACCATCCAACTCGTACCATCTGCCATACCTCACATTAAACAATGTCCTCTCCTTTTATACTTCATGTAGCTATTCACATACTCCAACTCATGCTCCCCACACCAATCAATCAGATCCCTTCCAGCCTCATTCATTTTCCCAATGCCATGCCTTCCACACACCCCTTCCCTTTCATTCCTTTTGCCAACATTCGAGTTAAAATCTCACCTATAATCAATTTCTCACTTCCACCACACGTAACTTGATTCTCAACTGCTCTTCTGTACCTCTCCATACCTTCATCATTCGTTCCCCACACAGGCTGATACACTGATACCAGACACAACCCTCCCAACACCACACAAGTCACTCTCTCCACAAACCATCTTTTCTGTTCATCTCTCACCCACACCTCTAAAGCCTCACCAAATCTCTGCACATTCCACGTCACAAACACTCACTCCTCAGTCTCCCATCCACACCTCCATTCACAGCCTCAGCCTCTCCCTCTCGATCCCTCCTCCTCCACCTCCGACCCTCGTGGCGCCTTTCCCTCTTCTCTGCTCTTCGCCTCTCTCTTACTCCCCCCATCCTCTCCAGCTCCTATGCCCTTGGTTCGGGTGATTAGATCAGAGTCCAATCACCCTAAGGGCTGCTGCCAGCCTGTCCAAACGACTCGCCACCGTCTGGCAGGCACCAATGCGGGCCCCCGAGGGGCCCTCGCCTTGAAAGTTAATAAAGAGGGGTCCGGGGCTGCTAGGCCCATCTTCCTCTGTTGTAAGCAAGAGGATGTTGGGCATCTCCTCTGGCAGCTTGATCCTACATTGCCCCCTGCCCCCTGGTGGATCCTTTGCCGCTCCAGGAGCCACCAGATGCTGACCCCGGATGAGTCCCCTTTGCGCCACAGGAGGCGAACCACCGAGCAAGGGTTTGATAAGCCTATTATATACCTTATCATCATCATAGGCCTACATACCTTATCATCACGGGAAAAGGGTTCCTCCTTGACCTCTACATCCACAGTTCCATCCTCAAGCTTGTCCTTGATGTTGTCAACAGAAACATTAGGGACAGGAGGTGGAGCATCAGCTTCAAAAGCTGCTCAAGAAGAATATTCATTTCACAGTTATGAAACTATAATGTATTGTTCAGAGTGATGTAGATAATTTTAGCCAATAATAATATATCACTTGCATGGAATACTATCAGTTTGCTGGCATGGATAAAAGATGGAACATAAAATTGCTTTTGGCAATTGAAAATATTAGAGCAACCTTCATTTGCAATTGAGCATTAAATTAAAAAATCAGTACTTAATAACTGAATGTTAAGAAATGATGACCGAAGTAAACTACTTTAAAGCTGGCTCAAGCATTAATCTTCTAGGCTAGGATCACCTTCAGACTTCACTTCTTCAGCAGACACTTGAGGGAGGCTCTGCTCAGCACACCAGACACTCCCATCAGCATCTTCAGGGCATTGATGAAGAACAATGCTGCATTCTTTAATATTAAACTTGGTAAAGTTTTGTCTCAAATTTGATGCCTTCTTATCATTGCACTTCTGACAGTACCAGGGACCCTTTGGTATTTTGTCTATTTTCAAACACTTCATGTGGAACCAGTCACCTCCTTCAACATTCCTTGAATTCAATCGTTCAAGGTAGGATACACATTTTTGGGTATTAGCACATCCAATAAATATGGCTGATGGGGCATTTCTTTGATTTCTTTCTTCATTTTCACAAATACAATAAATTTCAACACGTTTTAGAACTTCTGACGTCTTGCTTTCATAATCCAAGTGAATGGTTTGCACTTGAGGCTCCTGGCTTTCATTTTGTTGGCATTGCTTATAAGTGGATGTGGTGCCAGTGTTGACTGCTTGGTGTAATGATGAAGGTGCAGGGGATGGAATTTCAGTAGGTACAACTGTCTTTCCAGGTGCAAGGGACTGCTCACATGATTGGGGAGGAATCGAGGCTGCCATGATGATGGTAGATTCTACATTGTTTTCAGGAATTTTCAAAAGTCCATGATCCATCTTTCTTCTCTTACCATCTCTACATCTCTGTTCACTTGCCAGATGACGTTTTGTAGGAAAGTTTGTCATATTATCACTTCCAAGTTTGATCAAGTGAGACAAAACCGACTTACTTAATTCATTGGACTTCTTAGTTATCTGAAGAGATTCCTGATGTTTTCTCAAAAAAATTTTTTTGGCCAAGTCAGTGTCATGCTGTACAACATTTGTGTTGCATCTAAGAAATACTTCTTTGGCTACATTATCAACCAAGTCACTGTTACTTGATTCTGACTGAAAGAAGTTTTTGAATTCAAATCTATTTTTAACAGAGTCAGCCACATGAGACATTACTTTTTTTGTAGATGCTTGTGTTGGCTTCATGAGTTGGACAATTTCAAGGCACCGAATAATATTCAATGGATATTTAGTTGCAGCAATGTTTTGTTGAATATAATGAGCAAAGGCATCAGTGTAGGAATGGGATCTAGTACATCCATGCCTATAAAGTCTGTTGTCATTGCCAGGCCGCCATTCACTTTGGAATTCTTTTATAAAGTTGATGTAGTCATTTTGCAAACAAGTGCACTGGTGAAGTCCTTTGCACTGTTTTCCACAATGCTCAAATTCAATATTCATTGTATCAAAGAGTTGTTTGATACCTGTTGATTTTTCCTCAATCAAGTCAGACTTGTTATGAATCACAAACAATTGTGTGGCAAGGGCAATGGGTTTTGGGATCTTTAAGCAATTTTGAGCTTCTCTACAAATCAAGTCAATCCATTCAAAATTTTCTTCCATCAAAAGGATTGTTATTTCTTTTTTGGCCTTTTTAAGTTCCTTTCTTGTTTTCAATGCAAGCTTTTGTGCCACTTCATTCAAATTCATTTCATTATAGGTAGAGAATCTAAAGTATGGAGCTATTGACTCTATGTTGCCATATTTCATAAAATCTGTGAACTCGATGGAAGGTGTTTTTAACTCCTCCAATTTTGGGACCAAACTGTCAACAAGGTGCTTGTATTCAAATGGACCAAAGCAGGCATCCTGAGCTTTCTTCTCCATATCAGATATGACTTTGTACAGCCTACGAATCAGAAGCATTCTGCCAACAAAAGTCTCATTAACAAGCATTTTCAATATGCTTTTTGCTTCATCACTGAGGCAGTTCTTTGAATGCATAAGTTCTGGCAGGGATTTAATCAGTATTGGAATGTTCTTGATGATGGCATCCAAGTAAAGATGTAGATATTCAGCAAAACTTGTTTGATACAGGTTTGGGATTGCAGTTAATGTTGATCCACAGATGACGTTTTTGTGAATGATATTTTTCACCATGATGTGGTCATTTACAAGTGCTGCAAAAGTTCTACAAGTTACTAAAGTATCAGACACCCATTGGGGTATTGTCTTCTGCAATAGATACTCCATTTTGATGCAGAAATCAGGGAGTCTGGTCAAGTTGTGGAATCCGTCTGAGAATTTCAGTTGTTCTATCAATCCACTAGTTTCTCCATTGCACAGAGCTGCTTCATCCATGCAAATAAATGCAATTGATGAGGGGTCAAGAAATGATACAATGGTTTCTTTAAGATGGTTAGTGGTTGACATAGCATCTCCATGCTTGATCCTTGACATGCCTAAAACTACTTCCTTGGGCAGTCCACTTTCCGATACATAGGTTGCAACAACAGCTTGTCTAGGGGCATCATTTGGAACAATTTTTCTATCACTGCAAATTGTGAATCTTCTTTTACTTTTGGTTGCTGAAAAATTAGTTGAAAAGTATTTTTTTAATGTGATGACACAAGCTTCATAATTTGCTGACAGCACATTTGCAATACCTGCATGCGATTGATGTCGGTTGCCTAAGGGATGGCTTGAGCGTGATGGGCAGATAATAGCAAGGAAAGCACACAAGGCAGTATAAAATCTCAGAGGTAAACCATGACTTGCCATGAATATTCCAGCTAGCATGGTGTTCTTTGTTGCCTTGTTTCGTTCTTCAGCAGTTGAAAGTCCACGCTTGATTTGTAATTCATCTTTAGAGTTACCAAGTCTAACAGCTTCAATGTGCTGCTGACTTAGTGGGTGCCTTTTTATAGCCTTATTTTTGCTTGTGATGTCAGCAAAGGTCATTCCAGTGATCCAAGATTCTCCTACTTTATGACGACCTTTACTAGACACACCATGACGAAGACAAACCTTGCAGAAATATGTCATGCTGTCCTTTTCGGAGTTGTATTGTGACAATATATTTGCATCTTCAGAGTCTTTTCTTGGTTCAGACCAAGTGACTTTCTCATTATGTGTTTTCAACATAATCTCATTAAACATTTTCTTGCAGCAGCAGTCTTTGAAGTTGTGTTTGCATCCTTCTATCGATTTTTCCAGTGAAATTTTGTAAAACTTTTTAGCAGCTAAAAGTTCAGAGCAGCATACACATTTTTTGCAAATCAGATCTTGCTGAACTGGTTTTTTCAAGGGAACAGAGGTTTGATAATTTTGCTTGTGACTTTTCTTGGATAACAGAGTTAATGCCATTTGGAGTGACTGATTTTCATTTGTTTTCATTTTCAATTGAAGTGGTTTGGAGTCAAATTTTAGTGATGGCCCTGCTTGCATTGTGACAGGCAGTGATGGTCTTGCTTGCATTGTGACAGGCAGTGATGGCCCTGCTTGCATTATGATGGTTGTGCTTGCATTGTGACAGGCAGTGATGGTTGTGCTTGCATTGTGACAGGCAGTGATGGTTGTGCTTGCATTGTGACAGGCAGTGATGATTGTGCTTGCATTGTGACTGGCAGTGATGGCCCTGCCTGAGTTGTAATAGGACGTGCAGATTCTTCTATCACTTCTGAAAAAATTTCCATTCCGATTCTAGCTTTGGAATATGAAGGATTTTTCTTGCCTGTCTTGCAGTAGTCACTGTAGGCATTTGAGTGTTGACGCTCTAGATGGCGGTCTAGGTTGCTATAACTTTTTTTATTAAATCTAATTTTCTTTGAACCAAATTTACAAAACTTACATGTTGCCACTAAATTTGTTGTACCATATATTTCTTCAACATCAGTGTATGCAAATTTAATTATAGGATGAGGAGCCATAATCAGTGATAGAGATGAGTCAGATGACCTGATGGAGAAAGCATTAATTTTGATTTGGTTAAAAACATGAAAATTCAGAATAAATTTGGCAGAGATAAAGTGACAGTAATATTGCATAATGTTACACCAATTTTTGTTAATGAAAAGAAATGATCAACCCAATTTAGATATTTCAATTCCAAAAGCAAGTTAAATGCTATCAACTTATGACTCAAATTATTACTGAATATACAGAACAAGTACAATAATAGATTATCTATATAATATAAAAGGCTCAGTAAGAGCCATATTATTGTAATTCACTAACAAAATCTAAGGGGAATTCAAATAAAAATAGTTGTGCTGAAAGTCCATGCTTTTTAATTTTTTCAAAATCCAAAAATGATATAAAAATCAGATACAAAAAAAGGATAAACTGCCAAGCAATACCACCCAAATGACATCATTAGCCTAAGCCCTCTTTTCAGAGATGTTGGTGAAAATTCATTAAATCATTTTATTCATTGTCTATTCTAGAAAGTTGAACAGAAGACACCCTTGATTGAGACAAAAAATCCATGTGCTTGCAGTTATAATGATAACTGAGAGATTTTTTTAAACTCAATTCAATTCGAATTGCCTTATATACTGTCTTAACAGTATATAACCAAAACTTAACTCACCGCTTGTCACTACAAATAATATAATACTTGTCAGAATTACAATTTGTAGTGTTTGATAACCACACAACAATAAAGAAGCTGTTTTAATTGCACTAGAAAGGCATGGCATGGTATTTGGTTCATAAAATAGATTGTTTTTATTGAATGCAACATTATTGTCACAGACAGTAGTTCAAAATTTTGTTCAATATCCTGTAGAAGTGTAGAAGTAAATACTGGGGACATAGCAACTCTGCAAGAAAGTCAAAATAAATGTCTTGTCTGTAACCACGCTGAAAGCTTGCAGCCAATCACCAGTTTTTGTGGCCAGTTTGTGTAAATCTTTCATAAAAAATTAGATTCAAAGGCTCTACGGAAAAGTTCTGTTTTTAGGCATCGACGAAACAACGGCAACTTTGGGTAATGCACGGGCAGTTTTGATAGCCACGACTGCCATCTAATTTCCCTTGATGTTCTTGTGACAGGCAGTGATGGCCCGGTTGAACTCAAATCACCACTGGGAAACGATTTCAAACAGCAAGTAATATTAGATCCATTTTAAACACCAAGGGTAAAAGAGATGTTGGACTCAGGATGTTAGTAAGTTCAAACTAAATGAGTCTGTGAACACCACAGCTCCCTTGCCACCTGCAATGAAATTCCTTATCACAAGAGCTGCCTGGGCAATAGTAAATAGCTCACAGCTCAAGATTGATTCATGTGAGTATAATTTCTAATTAAACTTATGAACAGAGCTTGCCTCCTTAACCAGAAGTGACACTGCTGACGTTGGTTCAGGCTCAAGTTTCTTAGAACTATCTGTATATTTAATGAAAACTACTGTATACTGTATGTCGCATATCTCTAAATACATTGTGGGCTACTGGCTCTAGCAATTATCCAACTGGCTGCCTCATGAAAAAACTTGATTAGTGCAGAGAGCAAAAGTGGTTCAGAGAACTGAAGTTCCAGTGAGTCAGAGGATGAAAGTGAATCAAAGAACAAAAGTGAGTCGAAATAAAATACTTAAAAAAACTTTTTAAAAAAACATGTTTTTCTTGTGGAATAAAAAGTAGAAAATAAATTATGGCTCGCCCCAAAAAACGTGGGTCGGGCTGTATGTTTTTTTAAAAAGTTTTTTTAAGTATTTAATTTTCTCCTTTTTATATTTCAGTTGGCCACGCAAATGCACAAAAGAAAATTTTTTCGAAGTTCTGTAGAAACTTGTATTCGAGGGGATACATTGTTGTTCCCGTATTTATCTGGGTGCGTGGCTGTAAAAAAGACATTTCATTGAATAAATACGCCTGGAAACATGCAACAAATTATTGATTATTATATTGTCATTGGGAGCTGAGCTTCCCTAAAAGTTTCAGAGCGCTAGCTAGCGGGAAAGTTGGTGAAATATTGATTGCAAGATTTGATCATCACAGACAGACAGATGGACACAAAAGCGAGCTAAGAAAAACGTGGTAAAATGAAAGTGAGTCAAAGGATGAAAGCGAGTAAAAAAAAGAAAGTGAGAATGAAAGTTTCATTCTTATGTTACGCCCTCTGATACACTTTCGTTCTTCAGTGACACACTTTGTTTTTCTCTGACCCACTTTTGTTTTTATCTCACTTTCATTCTTTGGCTCACTTTGTGCCTTGTCTCACTGTCGTTATTCGTTTTGTTTGGTGAGTCGTTTACTTCAATTCACTTTCATCCTTTATATTTCGTTAGCAACTAATGTGTGCACTAATATTATTCTTGACTCGACTAACATAATTCACTTCAGAAACTAAGAACAAACGTTTGCAATCAAAGTAGCAACTCAAGTTCTCTCACGATATATGAGGCTTTGAATGAATAAATCTAACAGATTTGCATGAACTTAACATTAATTAGAAATTGAAAAATGATTTCCCAATCACGTTCTACAAAAATACATTAAGTTGTAGACAAAAGGTTTTTCATCTCACCATCTTCAAGAAGGTGGATGTTCAACTGAACTGATTATAATATGTTGCATACTGCAGGTATGAAATGGAACAAGGCAGCTGTATGCAGTTTCTAAGTTACTTCAAGTTACCATTGCTCAATCCCAAAAATTTTAGGAACCATTACTGTTACCTGAGCCTGGTTTAATGCTCCCACTCTTTTATATATCCACCCATTTATGTTACATTTTATAATCTTGTGACGTGTTTCAATGCATTTATTGCGTTATATTTTACTATGTCACATACTTTTAAATCTGTCACTTGCTCTCTTGTCATGCACTAAAAGCCCATTCCCACATTCTGTTCACTTAAAGGGCATAAAGAGTTGAGTCTAGAAAAAAACTGGAAATTAAAGGGGATCCAAGGACACCCTCCACCACGACTTCAGTGCAGGGGGTGGAATTGGATTGCTCCTTGTGGTGGGCAGTTGATGAGCAGTTAGAAAACAGTGAGTCCTTTGAGTAACCTGCCTCAACTTTAGTGGAGCACCCTGAGCTGGTCGCCTTGCTGGTCCACTGGTTTGGGCACTTTTGCCAGCCTTAGGAGTGCTTTCCATTTATATGGTTCCCCAGTGCACACCCAAGCAGGATTTTTCAAAGTAACTGGTTTTTACATTGTCCAGGTCAATTGTGCCAGTGCAAATATGTTTTTCTTGTGACGTTCTAGTACAATCAATTTTAGATGGTAATTAGGTATTGATTTCATTACCTGACCAAGCTTTCACTATTTGTAACCAGTGTGATGTCAGCTGGTGTTAGTGTCCTTGGTCAACAGGTCCTTTTGTTTTAATGGTTAGGACTTGCAATTTGCTAGTTGCAACAAGGGCTGAGGGTCCCGGTGATTTCATGAGATTTCTATCATGTTTTGTAGAGCAAGCTCCACCTGCTAGCATGACTTGCTGCTTCCATACCATCATTACCCTACTAACCCCATTTAATGCGGCACTAACTGCAGGTGTCTTCTTTTAGTTGTTTGTATGCTGGCCCCAGTGTTCCATAATATATTACACTAAGCTGCCCCCAGGTGCTTTCATTAGCCTTAGATGCCAGTCTTGTCCATAACTGTACCATCTACCTCTTTAATTTCAATATTAAACTTACCAGGATCAAACGCCTACACTTACAATGATAACTGTTTAAAGATATTCAACTGCCTCTGTTTCTAGTTTGTGTTGCTATTACCTGTTGCTTGCTTAATATTTGTAGACCTTTGGGGAGAAGTGTTTAGTCACATTAGGCATAAGCATGGGGGTTTTAAGAGGGGGTTTAAATGACCTATGGAAAGGCAAATCACAGTCTGGATAAGATGAGATCATGATCCCATAACCAATCACTGTCTGGATAGCATGATATCATGATCCTATCAGCCAATCACAGTCTTGAGAGGATGAAATCATTATCCTATCAACCAATCAGTCTTGAGAGAAATTCAGAGAATGATCTCTCAACCAATCACAGCTGGAAAGGGACATGTCTCTGTCCAAAAGTAACTTTGAGCACTATATATTAGAATTCCACCAAGGGCGTATGACTAAGTAGAAGGGCTGAAATTTTACTGGGGCATGACATAAGATGTGTTTTTCAAAGCTCACTTTTTAACTGTTGTGATTACTTGCTATTTATTAACTAGTGCCTGCCAGCAACTGCCATCCTCTACCATCAATTTTGGTGTCCTCACCAGTGTGGAATTCTGGATAGGTAATATATTCTCATGTTAACATAAGAAAATGGATAAAAAAAACCTACCATGTAACACCTTCCACCACAGTGTCAATTGATTCAATGAGCTCATTAGAATCTGCCATGCTTCCAATATCTTGTGTGGTTCAAAATCTGATACTGTGTCGGCCAGGCCTCCCTCAAATACATTCACTAGTCGTATATCCATATTGGACAAATTTTTACAATTAATATGTTATAAAATAAGAAAAAATTATATCAACTTGCAT